TACAGAAATGTGAGATACATTTGTTAACCGTATTCATGTTGGCCAAATGGTTCTTGTAAAGAGCATTTCTAAAACCAAGATATCATATCCTATCATATATAAAAGTACAATGTACTCTGCCAATTGTTAATATTCTATGAGTGTTACTGCTGATTGCTTCCTTGTACCTGTGAAGTGAGCACTCCTTCCCATCTCAGTGTAGGGGCCAGGAACAAATTTCTGGATGAGCAGCCAATGTCTTACCAAACTGCAACTCCTCTGTGGCCAAAGATGTACATTTCAATAAAATCAGTCATTTTAATCTATGGTTTTCACAGGAATAAGGTGAGGCCCTTTGCAGGCACTACATTTAGACACATTTCTTCATCTAGTTACTACATGCAAGATATTAAGCTAATCACTCAACAGCATCAAGCTTGCCAGAGAGCTAAGAACTATCAGGATACAAACAACTTTCCTTTCCTGTATCTGTGTTTATCTGGATTCTTGGATTCTTATTAGGAGGTCAGTTAAATAGCAGAACCTATTAAATAATGATCCTGATTATAGATAAAAGGTGGCCAGAGTTTAACTGACACTTCCGGTAATTTCAGATTCAAGTCCAAGGATCCCAGTACTTTGTAATTCCCATAGGTCAAGTTTTTATGTGTCATAAACCATGATCCTTTACTTTTCTTAGCATTTACCAACACCACCTTGTATATATAACACTGGTGGACATCACAAAGATAACTACATTCTTTTATTTCCTACACATGTCCACTAATTTTGGCAGGTAGGAAATGAAAGTTATCATAACCATGTCAATATTTAAGCATCAATATGAAATAAAATTTTACTTAGCTCCATGTGGAGGTTGGATTTAATTTCTGGACCAGAATGGATATAGTGAAATTTAAACTGTCTTAAAACAAGAAAGTACATCTGGGTAATGAGTTGTATAGGTGCTGTGAGACTCTTGCTCACATGTTTCTGTGCATGTAGTTTCAAGTTCCAGTTCTTTCATAAATTAACAACTGGTGACAAGTCAAACTAATAGTATTACTCATCCATTCCTCCAATAAATCCCAATCATTTATTGCAGGACTAAACTGTCATGGTGCCAGGAAAGGAAAAATCCGTATCACATACATAAAACATGGCTTATACATATGTAAATATGGTTTATGTAATTGGCTACCTAGGATTAAGAATCACAGCAGCGGTGTAAAATGCTAAAGGAAACCAATTTTGTATACTTCACAGTCCATTGGTTTGTTAAGAAGATTGCTATTTCCTACCTTACCATTTCCCCTGAATTGTGAGATATTTTAGTGGGCCCTTTCTTTCAATCTGTCAAAGACTAAGGACTTTTTCTGTATCTACAAAGGTATGCATCTATGTCACTGACATCAGTGCAAAAATTCACATGAGTTTTGAAAGATCTTATTTTACAATTCTTTAACCAAGTGTCCTGACAGTATGCTTGAGGTTATGTTTGAGGTTACAGTGTACCAGCATGTTAATAAAACTTATTTTCACATGCTCTATTCCTTATAATGTACACATAAAACTGTTCTAATTTGTGAGGGGTTTTGAAAGTTTAATGCTATGCTTATGTACAATACTATTCACAGCACAAACACTGCCCAATGTAGAGAAAGATTTTTGGTCTCTGATATCAATGTCCAAAAAAAGGCTCATCAAATCCCTAAACATAAGAAAAGGAGAACTGCCATCTCCTCTTTAGGGGCCTTTTCTTTTTACATAGAGATGATGGAGACAATAGTTAATATAGCTCTTACTGGGTGCCAAGTACAGTTACAAGCGTTTTACACGTGTTAATTTAATGTTCTCTGTAACAATTATTCCATTTCATAAATAGGGAAACTGAGGCACAGCAGTTAAGAAATCTTGAGATCATACAGTGCACAGAGAAGCCAAGATGGGAAAAAACTTACCAGCTGCACTTGAAGGGGTTCCATCCTTCTTTCCTAATGAAACACCCTTCCAGACACAGCCACTACCAACTAGGTCTGTCCTTTTAGATCAGTGGAGTTGACACCATCCACCACTCCATGGTTATGAACAGGCAGTGGGGGGTTTTTTACTTTTTTTTAAGTAATTATGCATTCCATCTAAGAAGAGTGCTCTTTTGATCCACACATTATCAACATTAATCATTCCATATGATTTTAACATGTAGGCCAAGAATGTCACTCCAACTAGTATTTTAACATTGAATGTATATGATGAATAGTAATTAGAATTCTTACTCACATCTAGTTTTTCTGCGCTCTACCCCACTGGATAGATGATAAGTAGTGAGACATATTTCAGGACAATCTTAAGAAGTGTTTACTCTACTACATGCTGTCTGGAGCTGCAAAGATCCTTTGGAAGCTGTAGTTAGCTATTTAAAACTCAGCATGTGACTTAGACGAAGAGACAGGTATAGATTCTGGGTTGAATAAATAAAATGCTGAGTGCTGAGATTTGACAACTTCCCCCCAGTACGACTAGGGATTGCACTCAGGACCTCATACTTGCTAGGCAAGCACTGTACCACTTAAGCTATATGCCCAGTCCTTCTGCTTGCAGTTTGTTTTTTCCTGGCGAGGTCTTTGGCTTTTCCTAGGCAGGTCTCTGACTGCAACCCTCCTATCCACTTCCTGGATAGCTGGGATTACAGCAGTGAACCACCATTCCCACTCTAAGACTTGAAAACTTTTAAAAGAAAACAATGGAAAGTACAAATGTGTACTAGTGGACTCAAATTCTTAGGACAGGGAAAGAAGCAAAGACTAGTGTATATCCTCTCACTAACTAAATTATCTGGGAGATATATGACAATTCTTTCTTTTTTTTAATTTTTAATATTATTTATTTTATTTCATCATTTTACTTTTACTTACATGTGTATACATTGTTTAGGCCACCTCCCCCCAATTTAATCTGATAGAACACATTTCAGAAATGTTAAATGAATTAATAAGTCCATCCTTATTTTTGATTCTTTTAATTAAAAAATCAATCAGAATAAATATTGTGATTTACCCAGTAGGTATCTCTATTAATATTTACATGTGCTCAATAGTTGGACAAGGTAGTTAGATGAGTTATAACAGCAGCATAAATTACATATTAACCATAGAAACTATATATGCTTAAAAGATACTAAAAGTTCTGCTTATTACATGTATAGTATTATCCCACCTTAAAATATATGAATGGAACTTTTAGATGTTGTAGGGTGGGTCAGGAACATGGCTTTGACATTTGACTGATCTGGATGTGAGTACTCTTAGTCTAAGAGTGTTATGTTTCAGATGCCTGATAGTAGCAAAGTTCATACATATAACTGGATAAGGCTCACAATCACCAATCTAAATCATCACAAATTGCAAGAGACAATTCTTTCAATAAGTAACTGTACTATGTTTTGCTGCCTTCAGAAAGTCAAATCTTTCTTGCTTTCTCCCACAAAATATTTATTCAGATGCTATTTCGAGAGGATAAGATTTTAGTCATCTAAGACCATAAAGTAATTCTAATGTTGAAAATCCTAACAGATTTCCACATTTTCTTCAACATGTAGGCTATCTGGTTTCAAGGTACAAGCACAAAGTTCCCATTACTATGTTTGCTGCACGTGCTTTCTAGTTTTAAGTCAATTTGGGACATTTTGATCAATTTTCCACCATGGTTCATCAGAACACAGTAAACACTAGGAATACCAAGTATATTAGAATCTTCTCATCATACAGCTCCTTGGATCAAGTCTTGACAACTATGAAGCGCTATACGGAGAATCCTTTTTTTTCTGCTAACAGTCACAGAAGCTTAGATATTCCACTTTGCTGAAAGATGAAAACCATGCTGACTATAATATTTTTGAGTGTTAAATTCTCAGTTTTTGGGATGTTTAAAAACTTCAAATTTCAATGAGAAATGGAAAACATTTTGACGTCTTTCTACCTGAATAAGTTATGAAATCACTTTTCTTAAAAACAAAGCTCTAACGTCAGATATACATCATGGCGTAGAGTAATCGTTCATGTTACACTCCTAGTTTAAATTATGGCAAATGGTAAAATAATGAGGTATTGAATATTTCTTCACTCTTTATTATCACTGGTCATCTGAACTGCTGATACTGATTTTTAAGACCATCCCAGAAAATATAAAACCTTTAATTTATATCTCAAGATAAAAACAACTAGTGTTTAATTGTAAGATTTAAAAAAAAAACAAAAAACAAAAAACTAACCATCAACTATTTCAGCAGAATTACCTTCATGGAGGGCATATAAATTTGAGGTAGGGGGCAGAAAACTATTTGTAGAGCTTTAAGCTTACATTTATCTTTTTAAGCTTTTAAATCTTAAGAAATTAAATTTCAGAATACCAATTTCTCTAAACACTGCAGGTAAGACCTAATTTGGGAGGTTACTTGGCTCTAACAGATAGAATATTAGTACCTTGAAAACAATGAAATAAACATAAACATGACATTGAAGCAAACTGGCACAGTTTGACAAGTTTTAGAACATTAGCTCACAAAATGAATATACTTGGATTCAGACAAACATACAAATACAGCTTTTATCCAAAAACCACAGAGACAACCCTAATACCTATGTTAAAATGCTCAAAATAGCTAAGGTTATTACAGGCCTCAGGTTGACAGAGTCCTGACAGGAAAGTCAGCATTGTGAAATATGCTTTACACAGCTTTGCGTGCATGCACATACTCTGCAATAGGGGAGAGACAGACACCGATCACCACCGATATTGTCCTTACTTGCAGACGCACAAGTATCCTGCATGTTCCGATTCTGACTGGCACCTGGAGCGGCTCTCCATGCCAGTCATCCCAATGTACTCAGGGATGTAAATACCTTATAATTAGAAAATGTGAAGGGGTCAAGGACATTAGACAAATTTAAAACACATCCAAAGATTAATTTTTAAAGGCATTGAAGAAATAATTCTTTGCAAATTTCAATAAGAGGATGTACCTGCTCCTTCACGGAAGCTAGAATAGTGGTGGCTGTGGTCTCGGGTTCCATGCCTGGGCCAGTGGAGGCAGCTTCCTGGCGGGTCTGTGTTTGTCCCTCCTCCACCAGTGAGGCCTGCTCAGGAGCGGGCATTCCTCCTGCAATCAAGCAGGCAAAGGGTTAATAATTCCTCCTGAGAGCCTGTAGGGCTGAGGGCATCCAGATGGTTCCTAAGAGCTACAGTGGACTTCTACAGCAATAGCACAACTCCCACAGCTATTTGATTTCGTTGGGCCAAAAGTATAGCTAGTGTCATAAAAACTGAACTAAAATAATAATAATAAAAAATATTTAGACAATATTTAAACAACATCATAGTACAGAATGACACAAAAAACGGTTGGGAGGAGGGCTCCTAATTAGAAACATACTAAGTAAGTCATCAAAATCTGGTTCAATGACTAAATTGTCTAAACAGAAACCAGTAAGTACATATGATTAACTTATCAGGACGCTAAATAACGAACATTCTAGGTTGCTACAAGACTCAATTTTCAAAGAAGTATATACACAAAAGACATTTACATACATTAATTAACAGAAGAAGTAATACTTAATCAGTTACAGAAGAGGCACATGCAAAAAAAAAAAAAAGGATTTAAAGCTCAAGAAAAACTTGAAAAGAACAAATACAAGTCTGCAGTGTTTAAAAGAAATGCAACGTCTTAACAACTTGCAGCAAAGACATTCTTGGTGGCGTCTTATGGCTGACTTGGTCTCCTTAGAGGAATCTGATTATCTAAAGTTGACAAGTTGACAATGGCTAGGAAATGGTGTTGGAAAGAGAATCTATTTTTCAGGTCCACAGCTTGTGTCAGAATAGGTTCTTAGCAGGAGAGAGAGTGCCTCTCCTAAGGTAACATTTATAGAGAGCAGCGTGTTTGCAAGGAGACTCACTGACCTGATGTGGACATTCTATAATTTTGAAAAACAGCAGGAAAAGACATCTATATTATAAAATGTTATAAATATTTTAACAACTGGTTTACATGTCAGCCTCTATGACTATTTTCTTGAAAGCATACTCTTTATTCTACCACAAGACTAGCCTAACGGCTAGCATATGTAATAGGTGCTCAATTAATCTTTGCTGACTATATAAATGAAAAATGACATCTTTTTACTGTCTGTTTCTAGTCATTAGGCAAACCCCATCAGATCCATAATCACTAGACCATGTTTGTTTAGAATGTGCTATTCATATACTCATTTTGGGATATCTAAGATCATGAATATTTTTCTCAACATTCTCCATAGTTTTCCTTAAATATTAGTCTGCAACTTTACTTCAATTTCTCATCAGTTAATGTCCACATTGCTCATTTCTATAGTTTGATCTGGGAAATTTTTTTTCCCATTCCCTCAAATTTTGATGTCAGCATATTTCCAAAATCATTATCTCTAAGTAAAAGGGAAGACGTGCATAACACCTTAACTCCCATCTTATTCCTCACTCTCCTATTTCCCAGGTTTTAAAGAGGGTCTAGGTTTTAGGTTTCTGTGGTAGTTGTTGTATTCTTGCCATACTAATAGGCATAAATAAAAAATGGGTGTGATGAATGTATTTGTGCGTTTCTTCCCCACCACCCCAGTTACCACCAGCCTCATGAAGAGTTCTCATGCCTACCCTAGCAGGTGAATTCTGTACCTGTTTCATAGCACTTAAGGCTCACGTAGACCCTAAACTGTAAGAAGAGTCTTCATAAGTAGGACTAGAGGGAGAAGTGTCAGGCTTGGAGTAAGTAGGTGCCCTGGAATAAGTAACTATTACTCTGAGTCTAACTATCTTCACTTATTAAAAGAGGGTAAATTTTATACAACACATTGCAATGACATTTAAGGCATATGTATATGTGGTATGTTTATTGAGATATAAAACATACTTAAAATGCCAAGTGAAAAAAATCCCTCCTTCCGTATTTATCAAGTGCCCATTAAAGACAAAACATGAGGTCTATGAAGGAAAGAAAATGCTACACATAAAGATCCCATAATAGCAGAAAGGCAAGTAAAGATATGGAAGTTTTCAATGGCATTGAAAAATAAAATCGCACACCTTAAAATTAACAGATGGTTGCAAAGAACAAAAATGTCACTATGCAACAGTGAAACAATGCCAAGAACAAAAAAATTTAAATGTCATGAAACAACCAATATATAAGAAAAAAAATATCAGTGAACAAAGACATTTGAGAAAAGGAAAAACAGAAACATTTCTGTGTGTGGTATTTATACACAATGGAATTTTATGCAGCCATGAAGAAGAACGAAATGTTATCATTCACTGGTAAATGGATGGAATTGGAGGACATCATTCTGAGTGAGGTCAGCCCGGCCCAAAAGACCAAAAATCGTATGTTCTCACTCATATGTGGACATTAGATCAAGGGCAAACACAAGGGGACTGGACTTTGAGCACATGATAAAGCGAAAGCACACAAGGGAGGTATGAGGACAGGTAAGACACCCAAAAAACTAGATAGCATTTGTTGCCTTCAATGCAGAGAAACCAAAGGAGATACTTTAAAGCAACTGAGGACAATAGGAGAAGGGGACCAGGAACTAGAGAAAAGGTTAGATCAAGAAGAATTAACTTAGAAGGTAACACACATGCACAGGAAATCAATGCGAGTCAACTCCCTGTATAGCTATCCTTATCTCAACTAGCAAAAACCCTTGTTCCTTCCTATTATTGCTTATATTCTCTCTTCAACAAAATTAGAGATAAGTGCAAAATAGTTTCTGCCGGGTAGCAAGGGGTAAGGGGGGCATAAGGGCGGGGGCGGGGGAAAGGAGGGAGAAATGACCCAAACATTGTATGCACATATGAATAAAACAAAAATTAAAAAAAAAACATTTCTGTGAAAGTAACTATTATTATAAATAGCAGGTATATACTATTTAAAGACACAAAATTGTTATTGTAATTATATCACTGCTGAACATATAATTAATTTCATCAAAATAGTTATTCTGATGACACTGACCACTCAAATCAATGAAATGAGATGAGCATTTCTGAGTACCACTCTGCCCACATGCAGAGGCAGGCAGGAGACAGTTCATCATGTAGCCGATACAGCAAAATATGAATCAGATCAATGCAAACTTTAGCAAGATGCAAGTGATGACATAACACTAAAGTCAACAGAAAGAGGTTCAAAGGGTATATAAATCTATAAAGGAAATGACTATAGTGTTAAGAAAATCAGCAAGAGAAGAAAATTTCATAGGCAAGGATAATGTTACATTCTGATTCCTCAATGACTGGCTGCATCACAGGTGATCACAAAACTGTCACTGGGTAAAGATGAAGACAAACAATATTCATGCATTACTGGAGATGAGACATTTATCAACACTTATCTCGAGAACAGTCCCAGGTACTAAACCAATAGGAAAACAGTTATAAGCCTATTAAGGTTTTCTGTCTATTTTCTTGCACTACTGTATTTTTTTTTTTGGTGATGGTGGTGGTTCTGGGGTTTAAACTCAGGCCTCAGTGCTTCTTGCAGCTGTTATGATTGCAGATCATTTAATGAGTTGAAAGGAATCAAAGTAAGTAAATCTAAAGGAGGTTAAATTCTCTTTTTACCAAGCCCAGAGGTGAATACTGATAATGACAAAGGTCACAGAATGGTAATATTACTCTTCCCATTGGCACGGAAATGAGTAATTCTGTAGCAAAGAGACAGTGAGAAAGTAGGTTTTGTCTTTTCATCAGTGACTTCAAATTGCCTTGATTGGAATGGCCATACTCTGGAGATGTGACCAAACTGCTGAACTATGTTGGGGGGGCGGGGGGGCAGGGTATGAATGACTCTCCTAAGAATTACAGAGAATGGAAGATGTGCCAGAAAGATGAAAGGAGGGAAAAGCCATGGCTGTATCTAGTGAAAGAGAAGGTAGATCCTTCATATTACAAATTATAGAGCTAGACAAGATCTTCGGCAAGATACTTAAAAGGATGTTATCCAACAAGACTGATTTGTAAGAACCCAAAAGAAGCACGCTAAAGAAAAGTCATAATAAGCTGGTCTAATTTCCATCTTTGGCAGTGTAACTATGGAAATGCAGTATGTCTAAACTCTAGTAAGGCATGTGTGATATGACAAGTCCCGTGCTGCTATAATTAACATATAAATGGGACTGAAATAAGGGCAACTGCTGATTTGAACTTCTGTAAATAGCTAAGTGAAATGTATCAACATATAGGTCTTTAATGTAATGCCAGAGAGTTGTGATCTCGAGCCAACCCTAACCAAAACTGTAGCCATGATATACATAAGAATGTACAAAGCATGCTGAGAATTCAACAACTAAGAATACTGCATTTACCAGATGATAAACTTAAAGTACTTGGCTATTGTGCAGAAATGAGCTGCCTGTAATGAAATAAAAACAACAGGATAAATGTAGGGCCCTGCATTTAGGTTAGCTTAGCAGCATGTTAGGCAAAAAAAACAAAAAACAAAACAAAAAAAACCATGGACATTTTAGGTTCAAGAGCACTAAGAACAAACCACTGCCCAAAAGCTAAAGAGATCTTAGGCTGTATTGACACAGGCATGTAAAATAACGGGAGGGGGACAAATACAACCCTCTTTCAAGCTCCTTGGAATATATTCACTTTCAGTCAAGTTTGTTGGGATATATTCACTTTCAGTTATGGGTGCACATTCATAGGAATGGAGAGTAGACCTATTTTATTGAAGGGATTTAGCCATATTTGCAGCCACAAGAACAGCAATGAAATGAATGACAAAGCTCCTGTTCCTTATAAGAAGCTTAAAAGCTTGGTAGGACATAGGAGGAATAGTTAGTGGAACAAAAGAAAAAGTTTGGCCTGAAGAAAAGAAGTCCTGTATAGAGAAATAGATCCTATAAACTTCTAAAAGATGCCACGGACAAGCAATATTAGACTCTTTAGGTTGCAATCCCAAGAGCTAGACTAAAAACAAATGGCAATGTAACAACTTTGTATTATCCTATACTTTGAAACAAATTTGGTTATATTACTTCCAATTACAAATAAATGTTTGAAGCCATAAGGGAAAGTTCAGCAAGGGCTTTCTTTTTGGAGCTAAGGGTCCAAAGC